AAAAAAAAAAAAAGATAAATTGGACAGAATGAAAGTTATTTAAAACTCTTTTGCCTCCAAGGACACTATCAAGAAAGCAAAAAGACAACACTCAGAACAAGAGAAAAAAACTGTAAATCACTTATCAGCCAAGGGAGGAACATGTAGCCAGACTATAAAGAACTGTTATGACTCAATAACAAAAAGACAAACAAACTAATTTAAAAAATGAACAAAAGAATTGAATTGATGGTTCTTCAAAGAAATATAAAGGAGCAATAGTTACATTAAATATGATTAACATCCTGAGTTATCAGGAGATACCACTGGAATCCACAATGAGATACCATGTTGAAGCCACTAGAATAGCTATACCAAAAAAAAAAAAAAAAAAAAAAGAACAAGCGTTGGCATGGACACCAAGACATTGGAGCACTCAACTCTGCTGGTGGATAACCAAGAGAAGTGAAAACATATGTCCACACAAAATCTTGTAGGCAAATGTGCACAGCAGCATTATTCACAATGGCCCCAAATTGGAGCAAGTCTAAAGTTCAACAAAGTAAACAAATAAACAAAATGTGGTATGTCTATACAATGGAAAAATTACCCAGTATTTGAATGAAGTAATCAAGTACTGATACATGATACAGCCTGAATGAACATTGAAAACATGCAAAGTGAAGGAAGGCAGAAAAAAGAGCCATATATGGTGTGGTTTCATTTATATGAAATGATCAGAATATGCGAATCTATATATAGAGAAAGTAGAGTAGTGCTTACCTATTGCTGGGGGATTGGGAGAAAAATGGAGGGGATGCTAACAAGTATAGGGTTTTCTTTTGGGGTAATGAAAATGCTGGAGAGTTGATTGTGGTAAACCCACTGAACTGTACACCTTGTGTGAGCTGTATGATATGTGAATTATATCTTAAATTGTTATAAGACTACATATCAAATAAATTTATTTGCTCCTTTCGGGAAATTCTCTTGCCTTTAGAGACATAAATCAATCACTGTTCCACCATTATTGACTGTGCTCACATCCCCGTATATAGAACAAACTGATTCTGCCTTTAGAGTAAGCAGGTTCTATACAGGGAGGGGACATATGACAACTAAATGTCTCCTGAGCTATGTGAGAATCAAAATTGATTAAGGTCTGGTACCATCTGTCTTAAATAATATGTGAAGATCTCTATTCCATTAGTAAGACCTTTTTATTAAGGATTTTAAAAAACAACAATACCATATTCGACACAATGATTTAGAAAATTAAACTTCTGTCACATTGATTCCACCCTCAATCTGGGACAGTGCCAAGATTGATTGAGAACTGGGGAACTAACATTTCGGATGGAGTGGGGGAATCTGTGAGTTCTCAATATAACTAACTACTTTGGGCTTTTTGATAACCATCAGTGATAAAGAGGGTATGACTGACAAGATCATCTAATGTCAGTGTTGGTGGTAGTAGTCAGTAGAGGAAATGTCAGTAAGCTTGGATAAAGCTAGATACAATTGAACACTGAACTGGCTCTAGTGCTTGCACCTTCCAGATCTTTCTGCCTCTTTTGGTTTCTTACAGATAATACCAATAAAGCATTTGTATTGTCCAGAGAGAGAGAGAGAGAGAGAGAGAGAGAGAGAGAGAGAGAGAAGAGAGAGAGAGAGATTCATTCTCCTTGGCTGAGAGAAATACTTAAAAGGAAGTAAGAGTCAAATGGGAGTTGGTAGAGGCAAGAAACTAGAGTAGATGCTGTGAAACATGAAGAAGAACAAGAGAAAAGATGAGAGAATAGCCATTTGCAAGGGCATAGATTGACAAAATAGCTTAGTAATGCTATTTGGCTGTCACAGTACTTCTATTTAGTTTACAGACTATGAAATTTGAGATTTAACATTGGCTAAAATTGTGCAAAGGGTTCAATATGTGAAATACTTACTGAAAATGGTAGTTCCATGCAGCTTCTTATCCCATCTGTTCATAAGTTAAATGTTGGTATTCTTCATATGTTTCCTGTCCTCTGTTTTCTTTCTTTGCATACATCTCCCCACTCTGCATGTATCCTATCTTTAAATATCATCTTCAATATCATTTATGTCTCTAATGAATCCCAAACTTTCTCACCTAAGCTTTAGACTATGATGCAACTACCTCCTGGTCATCTGGCTTTCCTGGACTCCTTCAAATCAGGGTGTATTTCAGATTCTATACTAATCACTAGGGTTTCTCAATGGGGCCATTCTAGGAATTTTTCCCCTAAACCAGTTCTTCCACCTGATTTCCCATTTCAGGAAATGGTAATCACTATCTCCCTGATTATGCTTCCTAGTTAACTACTTGTACCTAGTAATCCTGATGTTTTCCCTTCTCTACTCCCATGTTCAACAAATCAGGACTTCTCCATTAAATCCCTTGACTCTATCCATATCTCTCTCTACCCATGCACACTAGTCTTCTTTAGTCTGCTGCCGTATTTTTTGTGGATCATTGTGTTAACTTGTTACTTGGCTTTCTTGTGTTCAGAATCACTCTCCATTCTCTGCACTTCAAACACATTAGTCTTTCAAAACTACAAATACAGTTATGTTCTTCTTTTCCTAAAACCCGGCAGGTATCTCCACATTTCTTTCAGGATAAAGCTCAGACTCTATTAGATCTCTAGGGATCTGCCGAAATTCTCCTCCAATATGATGTCTCATGACTTCCCATCTCCCTGAAAAATATCATCCAACTCCATAATTCTGTTCACCTCCCTCAACATCTCTTTCACTCTTTTCTCATGATGCTTCTTTTACCAGAGATGTTGATCTCCCTTTCCCTTTATTGGGCTTCAGGTAGTAGTTTAGTCACTTTGAGATTTTACCAGCCTGAGTTAAGAAATTCTAGAGGAACTTGTACTATTTTTTTTTAAAAATAACAAATCACTCTGATCTAATTGATTAGAAGCACTTGAAAATACGTGAAGAAATTTTAGTTGACATAGAAATGTGAGCAGAGTGCACATGAATGTTGTGGGTTAGGGCCTGAGATAGTAAATCCTTACTGGGAAATACTCGACCATGACCAAGATTGACTCTTATCAGCGCACCTGCTGTATTCACACCTTCTGATGTCCTTCTGACAGTGTCTTTACCCAAGGGCTTTCTTTGGCTATATGCACAGCAGCCTAGAAATACCAGCTATTGGGAACTCCCCCTTCCATTCTCTTCAGTCAATTCACGGAGATTTATACATTTCTCCTGAGTTTTTTTGGATGGCGTAACTAAGATGTGTATACCTGTTATTGTCTCCCAGATTTCATTAGTGAGGTATTGTTCTAGTGGTCTATCTAAGTAACTAGTGTAAAAACACAACTTCATGAACTGTTTTCCCTTCCTTGGCTCATGTCCCTACTGTCAAGTATTTTCTACCAAATAAACTACTTGTACTTAAAACCTTATCCCAGGTTTTGCTTCTCTGGAAACCCAAATTAGAGTTTATTATATACTCCAATATAAATTGAATACCTATGATGATACCTACTTTAGTAATAATATTTATATATATTTTTTCATTGTGAGTATTCAATATTGTCACATTGAAAATTATTTGAGTCATGCTGGGGTGGCAAAGGTGGAAGTGGAGATAAGTGGGGAAAAAGATAGGTTTTTGCTTGTATGTAAGAAAAATTTAAGTTATTTTTTAGCATTAAGTACTAATGCTAAAAAGGCAATTTTCTCTATCATTTGTTGCTTCTAAGAGATCTTGTTGACATTTTCTCATTGCATGAGTGTGGGCAAATAACATCAGTTTATGGCATCTGAATCAGCTCCAACTATTGAAACCATTGTGTCAAAAGAAGTTGAAATTGCCTTAGGGTCAATGATATACAGGGCTGATGTAATAAGCTTTGTGCTTCTAAAAGATTTATTTAGATGCAGCTTTGAGAATGAGTCAGGGAAGGGGAAGAAGGAGCCATGCTCTAAGGCTACTATAGTAGAGGAAGAAAGAGAGAATACTAAAAATAATGAGTGGATGGTCCCAGCAGATTTAGACATTTCTTCTCCAGACTGCTGAATCAGTGTTTGGAGCAAGGAGCAGAAATCTTTCTAGATATTGTAAGAAAAAGGCATATAAAGCACTAAGATGAAGAATTTACACTCAAGCTTGGTCCCATGGTGAAAATTTATTGATATTGCTTGAGGACAGTTGGAAGCCCTCAGAGGTGTTGTTGCTATAGAGCAGTAGTTTTGTTCTCCAATTTTAGATTGCTGCCCCCCCACCCCGCAAAGTTTCTGACATAATATGTCTTAGATGGGAAGACAGGACATGCATTTCTAACAAGTTCCCAAGTACTGTTATTTGAGTATGGTTTCAGTATGTTCCTCCAAGGGTCCATATGTTGGAAGCTTGGTCTCCAATGTAGTGATGTGGGGCTTAGTGTAAGTTATTTAGGCCATTGGGTCATGTCCTTCGAAGGAATTAATGCAGTTCTCATGGAACCCTGGCTAGTTCTTGAGAATGAATTATAAGAGTGGCCTTTCCTTACTCTCTCTTCCTATCTCAACCTGTGACCTCTCCTTCTCAAGTATGGTCTCTCCATGTCATCCATGATGTGATATAGCCAAGGGGGCTCTCACCAGCAGGTGAATTGATGAAACCACCTGATCTTGGACTTTCAGCCTCTAAGTCTGGGAGCTAAATAACCATCTTTTTATTATAAACTACTCGGGTTCAGGTAACTCATAGCAACAGGAAACAGAAGAATATTCCATTTTGTGCTGATTGGGACCTGTACTTT